CCCGCCGACGGCCCCGCCGACGGCCCCGCCGACGGCTTCTTCTTGGGGTACTTCGATGACCTGGTCCTTTGTAAGATATTTGGATACCTCCTGGAGCAGGACCTGTGCCGCATGGCCCAAGTGTGCAGACGTTTTCAAAAGCTCGCGGACCACCCGGGGCATTGGAAGCCTCTATACAGAGAAGTATTCGAGTACGACCTTCCGTTGCTTCACCTTGCTCCTTGTGTATTTAAATTTCTAGAATTGGAAAACTGTGATCGAGATAATCCCTGGAAGGACAGTTTCCAGCAGTTATACCATGGTTTGCACGTACGCCCAGGCTACGAAGAAAATGCATTTCCTGATCGTAAAATTATGTACTTCGACACTGTTCACGACGCACTGAGTTTTTCAAATTACTACATGGATAAATCGGATATACACGGCCATGATGTGCTTATTTTCGTGCATGGCGGTACCCACCGAGGGGAAATACTTATTGATAGCAATGTGGCCCTCCTCGGAGCGTCTGCGGGACCCTTGAGTTCTAAAACCCCGAAGTCTGTTCAAGGATCTGTAATTCTAGTAGGCGAAAATGAAAGTACAGTGAAATTTGCCATGGGAGCAGAAGCGGCCTATATTGGATTTCTAACCTTGTTCTTCCAGTCACAACCCATTCAAAATGCTGATATCAGCCCTTGCTGCCTAGAAATAACTGAAAAGTGTAGTCCAACTGTACACGAGTGCATTATCCGTCATCATTACGGCTACGGGTCAGCTGTCCGTGTGAGCGGATATAATGCAGAGCCGGTAATGACAGATTGTTACATTTGTAAAAGTCTAAGCGGTGGTCTAATTGTTGAAAATGGCGCCCAAGGAACATACGATCATAACCTAATTACTCAGAGTGAGAAAATCGGAATTTTGGTTACATCTAAGGCAAATCCAGTATTTTGTAACAATAGAGTAAGTAATGGGAAGGATGTTGGCATAACCTTGTCTGGTGGAGCATGTGGCATATTTGATGGAAACGAGGTAGTTGATAATAATGCTGCTGCATTTGAAGTTACGGAAGAAGCGAACCCGTCGGTTACAAAGAATGAATTGCGCTCTAGTGAGGGGATGGCGGCCGTCCACATTCACAACGGGGGTATGGGGACATTTTCGTTTAACATGGTGAGTGCCAGTAACGCCCCCGGTATAATTTGCTCAAATGGAAGAAATCCGACGATAAAGGGGAATTTCATTTCCGACTGTGTAGTTGGGGTACACATTACTGGTCTCAGAGGAGGTTGGATAGAAGACAACAATATACATAAGAGTAGTTTTGCGGGAATTCTTATCGAAAATAGCAATCCAGATATTCGAGAGAATCAGATACATGAAGGCGACGTTGGTGGGATTGAAATCAGACACGAAGGTCGAGGACATATTGTGCTCAACAACATTTATACAAATGGAATACACGGAGTAAGAATTGAATCTAATAGCGCCCCAGTTTTGAAACGTAATAACATTTATAGCGGATATATTGGTGTGCATTTTCGTAACGGCGCTTACGGCGTGCTAAAGAGAAATGCAATTGCTAATAATAACTGTTACAATGTCAAAATAGAAACTGGTAGTAGTCCACTCGTTCGAAAAAATAAAATCAAGAATGGTAGCCGTGGAGGAGTCTCCATTTCAAACGGTGGTTTAGGAGTTTTGGTAGAAAACGTAATATATGAAAATTCTGTCGCTGGTGTCTGGATAAAAAATTTTTCGAACCCCACTCTTAAAGCTAACAGGATATTAGACACCAGAGGATGTGGTGTGCACATAGTTAATTACGCAAAAGGAATGATTGAAAGAAATCACATTCATCGTAGTAAAGAAAGTGGAGTTCTAATATCTTCGCAAAGTAACCCTACATTGAGACAAAATGAAATTTGGTATGGTCTACGAGCTGGAATAGATATAACTAGCGATGCTTCAGCAACTATTGAAAATAATACGATATTGTATAACAGATTCAGTGGAATAAACCTTGCTACGGGTGTCCAGGCAGTAATAAGAGGAAATATCATTCAGGACAATGAAGATCTTGTGGAGAAGGCAGTGAGCAATTTCAGGTGCCTTTATAGTCTATCGCGCACATCAGAACTACTGCACGATTTCTACGTGTGTGGGACTTGTTTGGGTTCGGACGGCAACGCAGAGTACAGCACCGTGTGCTCAAATTGCTGGCGAACGTGCCATCCGATGCACAGAGCGATTTTCAGCCGGCGGGACATGTTCAAGTGCGATTGCGGGGTCGGGGGGCGGGGGGACATCTGCCGCTTGCGGAGAGCGCGGCCCAGGGGGGCTCAACCCCCCGCCAGCTAACCCCCTCCCCCCAGTGACCCTGGCTTTCCACCAACCCAACGGCTCCGAAGTGGGCCAGTCTCTGAATTTATTTTGTCACTGTTTGTAGAGCATAATTTGCTTCTCATCAAGGGACATTGCTCCTGCAAGGTACAGTCGGAGCCATTTTGAGTCATCCACAGGAGTTGTGTTGAGTTTATCTTTGAGTCATCCACAGGAGACGTATCCCGTTGGGATACGATACAACCATCAGGCGACTATCATGTCTAAGACTTCATGCGTCACTCGCGTGTTGTCAAACGAAAAGAAAAAAAACAATCTGAAAAACAATCGGGGTTCGTCAGAATAGTCACATTGTTTAGCGGATGTGGTCCCACTTAGTTGAGCACTGAAGAACTGGTGCAACTCGAAATGATTCTATGGGGATACGCGTTCCAAAGGATTATACAAAGCAACACTCGGTCGTGTCGCTAGGACTCGTTGATGGTAACACTAGTTGTTGGAATATCTTCACAACATACGAATGCGGCGCCACTCTTCCCAAAAGCTTTGTTGTTGAAAATGCCTATATGGTCCCTGCCCAAGGTCCCCACACGTCACTACTTTCAAGTCCATGCATTTGAGAAATCTAGTATCAGAAATAAATCCATCACCATGAAAGTACCTCTTTCTTGACTTACTCTTTAAAATCCTCTATATATCGTGATTTTGTAGACTGTAATGCGTTGTTGTATTTGAATTGTACCGCATATTAAGCATCTAATTAATTCTTTACAAATTAAGGCTAATATTTATTAATAAACTTAATTATTTATATTTATATTATATTTGTAATAGGCTAATATTTATTAATAAACGTACACAAATGTACTAAATTCTGGCACAATGTCAGGTGAGCTATGTGTTATCTTTGAGTCGGGGGTTATTTGATCCGACTGCGTAATTTGTATTTCTTAGTAAAACATACTACAATTTAAGAGAAAACTCGTTGTAATGAAAGAAACTTGCCTTGTGTATCGTTCATGCACTGAGTAATATGTTCTGTAAATGTAAGTATGTTTAATGTAATAAATTCATATAACTACATTATTTTGCAGCTATAACTGTGTAAATATCGTTTATGGGCTGCAATATTGGCACACCTCGAAAAATAGTTTCGTGATAAACGTGTCTATACTTCTAAGTGATGGTTGAATTTCAAGTATGCCATGCTTAGTAAGTGATGCATTGTGAGGTAAGCATTAGTAAAAGGCTGCAAAGCAGTTACAATTATAAAATATATAAAGATGAGTATCGTAAGTCAAAATTCGTATTTTTCGAGTTATGCAAATGTTGCACCCCACATACGATATTTTCTCTGCATTTTCTTGCGTCTCCCAGTCAACTCTATCAACAATATTTTCCCCATCCCATTATTTCGACACGACCATTTATAATGTTAAAATATAGCGGAATTTGTTAGTCATTTTATAATATAATTCTGGTGAACGTCATGCGGATTTAAATTTCAGTTGATTACAATCTCGAAAAGAGAATCTCCTTAAAAATACAAATTGTAATTTCTTCTCTGGGACCGGGTTTATCCATAATTCCTCGAAAATTAATATTTAAAAAAACGGAACATTAACTATTGCGTCAATAGAAAATACTAAAATAAGCTCCTTTCTCTCGGTATGGTAAGTACGGTTGCTACAAGCAACTGTTAATGAACTATGATAATCTCGTGCACAGTATATTGATTTCGGGGGCCAGGACGACACTGGCCTCATTATTTGGCTTATCCTCCCGGGGGGGGGGGAGGAACACATAAGTACATCAGCTGCGAGTCTGTGTTTAGTGACTGGCGGCTGTGATGTCTTGAGTTCCCAAAATTTTAATCAATTAAATTTAAAATTGTACCTACATATTGTTTTATTTGCTCATCGATACCTAATAATAATAATAATAATAATAATAATAATAATAATATATATATATTTTATATATATAATATATATATATATAATATATATATATATAATATATATATATATATATAATATATATATATAATATATATATATAATATATATAAAACACCTAATAAGACTAATGTAGTGATTCCTTGACGTAACAATAATTTGAATAATTATATTTCCCACCGAATTTTAGAACACTTGCACTGATAATGAAGTTACTTTTATATCCAGAAGCAAAGCGAGGGCTATCTCAGCATTTGCTCACGAGCTGTGGTACCAAACTTGTTACAAGTTGTTTAAATTACCGTCCAAATTGTAAATAAAATATTAAATATCACTGGTAAGGTTAATGTTACTTTAAAAGCTCGGTATAGTCTCTAATTGCATAGAAATGTTTACGAAACAGGAAAGATTTTGCTTCGGATTTAAATTTTTCAATTTCTCAAAATTCAAAATACTAAGAATGTGTATTCGAAATATATGAATGGGTGAAAAACATAATGGTATAAGTAACATTTTATAACTTCTGAGAAATCTGTTTAAGTCAATATTACTGTAAATTCGTGGTGCTTTTTTCATCATTAAAACCACGGAATTTCAATTGTTCATTAAAATTACGAAAATACATTTCCAATAAGATGTAGTATAAAATAAACCCTCTTTCACAGAATTTATAAAATATGAGATATCGTTCTAGTGTTCACCCATCATAATAAAAATATAAGCAATTCACGTAAATTAATTAAAATTAATTTAAATAATAGTATATATTGAAACATTACTTATATAATTTGTGCATCGTGAAAGATATATACACCTCCAGCGCACGTCCTTCTGGCTTTGATTTCTACTAGGCACTTAAGTTCAACACCAGTACATTGCAACAAGCACTATTGCTTCGACACATTTCACACAAATAAAAATATTTTATTCCGAAAACGTCAGTGCCCTGGTATATATGGCAATAATGAAAGAGCTTCGACCCACATTCATGTTCACAACAACATTCTCAACCTGCTGGCCGGCCATCTGCAGGCACACGAGACACTAGACATATTTAGATTTAGATTTACATTTATTTAGTTCATAACACAAAAATCTGTATGTGAAGTATCGGGGAGATCTGCGCACGTTTCCTTGAGTTCCAGAATGCCTTCCTATCATTTTGTATATAAATAGTTGAAAGATAATTAAAAGTTAAAAATAAATTTAAAATAAATAAAAGATAAAAATAAAATTGAAAAAAGCGTGAGATAAGCAATATTTGAAAAATTAAACATTTTTGTTGCCGAGTTATAGAAAAACGCTTCGCTTCTACTGTTATTGGCATTACTTTGATTTCATGATTGTACATTTTGACAATAAAGTCTTATTTTACTTATTGCTTGAGAATGCCAATCAATTTTGGTACATTTGTTGTGCCAGGTATAAATATAGGTAGGATAGAACGATGTGTTTCTTCTCTCGCTGTTGCGTTGTGAGTTTTGTTTCGAGTTTCACTCACTAGAGGGGTGAGTTTATTATGGAGAGGAATTCCACTTTCGTTTAATATAGATAGGTTATTTTTTAGATAACTACCATCACTTTGCCTTCTTCGTTTGCGTACATTTGTTTGCCATCCTACGGCACTAGCATCAAAGTTGTTATCGGTTGTTGGATGTTCTCTGTCACTTCTTTGCATTTGAGCCATCTAAAGCTAGCAGCGCCTAAAAAGTAATTTCAATTAAATTATCCAAAATTTTAGGCGAATTAAATGCTGTATTCCCCAATTTTAGGCTTTTTTAGATTTTCCAAAATCGTTTTTTTTTTTTAAATTTTGGTGTTTATTTGCTCATAAGAACCAATGTAAAATGTTTAACATTGTACAAGTACACTTTTTGAGGCATCTTAGTACAAGTACAATATTGAAGATACAGGTTTTCATTTAATGAACTGTTTTTTAAAGACAGATCATGAAATATGGTCTTGTTCAATTTTTCCCGAAATGTAATTAAATTTTAATTTTTTAATATTTTTTTTAAATCGCTCCAAATTTGTCTTCAAATTTTCGACTCGTATGTATCAACGTATGGTAAAATATGTGGCGATAGCCACAATTCGGGCGAACTCCCCGTATTTTCGAAAAATGCAAAAAGTTGAAATTTAAAAACTACAGAATTAAAGATAGAAATGTTTGCCTTAGGCAGTCTGTTATTAAAAATCAACCCTTTCAAAAATGATGTAGTGTTTTGAAACACGAATGGTTTTCGCGTTGCTTGAAATTAAAGCAATTTATAAAAATACATTTTCTCATAAACCGCTCTTTTTTATCCAGGGATAGAAGAAGGAACACTTAAAAAATGACGTGGGTCTCATTTTCGTTGAACTCTCTGAATTTTTGAAAATTTCAAATTTAGAAATAATTCTAGAAAGTATGCGTTGTTATCACCACTAGTCTGAAAATGATCCAGTATCCTTTTATACTCAGTGATGTGTAAAATGACATAGGAGCCGATGACTTTCAGAAATCTCGCCTCTTACATTTGGTCATCGATCATTCGACAGTTGCGAATTTCCTTAATCAAAAATTAAAAAAAAAAAAAATTATCCTGCACAGTATAGAGGAATAGAACTACTATCGATAAATTTATGTTTAGTTTACTGCCATCTCAATGGGGGTATCTCGTATTACAACATGTGCAAAATTATTGACGGTCGACCTATTTTTTACTGCGAATGTTTTAAACATTTTTTCTCTCAAAAAAAACGGCTCCGTTTTTTCTTACAATTTTCTTCTCGTATGTATCAAAGAACGGT